CCAGGGTCTCCATCCCGCCGATACCGCCTGCATGCAATTTCTTCCCACCGTAATCCTCCTAAACTCACAGAGTGCAGCCCAGTCCTGCTTTGCCAGCTGAAACAGCCGTTCTGTATGTTCGCAACCTCCCAGCCTTCTTGCGCTGCCCCCAACGTTCTCTGCATCCTCCCTGAATCTTCTGTTCTCATAATTTTGCGGCCAGTGGGCGGTTTCTTGATCATTTTTAGGATGTATCATTTCTCCGTGACATTGTAGCAAATGTCTACAAAGCAATTCAACGTTCCTGGACCAGGGTGTCCTCCATGAAAGCTGCCATTAGGAGCTCCCCCAGCAACTGATCATGAATACACTCCAGTCTGAAGGACTCCCTTTTCCCGGCATCCAGGCCACCGCACTGGGTGCTGGAAGCTTCATTTTCCTGCTTACTGGTCCTTCCTGTACTTTTTCTGCTTCCTGGGGTCTCAGCTTTATCTTTCTCTCTTCCTTCAGTGGAGACCGTTCGCTCTTCCACCGGCCTTCTATGCTCTCATTCTTTAGACAATCAAATCTCTTTTCTAATATTGATTCCTCTTCACACCCATTGTCAGTACATTATTGTGTGTGGAAGGAAACCTTTCCTCACCAAGAGCGAGACTGAAAACAGGCAGAAAAGCCCACGTTTGCTACATTCCCAGAAGCTGCCAGATTGCACAACCTGGGAAATTAGATGGGCGCGAAGAAACAGCCTGATGTTCTGGATGCTGTGTTCTGGCCAAGGGGGAATTTCCCAAATCTCAGTGTTTTGCTTCAAACCTGGCTTCCCCGTCATTCCCCTAGCAAAGCGTCAGTATATATACCGTGGGCACCCCTCGCAGGCAGGAGGGGCGGGCAGCTCAGCTTCACCAGGAGCCTCCTTGGGAAGCAACAGCCAAAGGTGAGGTACTAGAACTTTCCAACACTATTTCTCTTTGCGGACTCCCGTTGCCCACGGCATTCCTGTGCTGTGTCCCAGCTCTCTGCTTCCTTCCTGCATCTCCTAGCCTGACAATTAGGATTCAGCATGTGAATACTTTCTGGGACTGGGATTTAGTCGTGCACTTCCTCGGGGAGAGTTCAGGGATGGGGAGAGCAGGCATTCTGCCAAGGGTTGTGCACTGTTTCACTCATCTCATTCGACAGACTGGTATATGGTCACAAAATGCCCAGATGCCTCTTTGGAAGCTTTCTGTACAGTGGGCGTCAGGGCTCACAGGTGATGACTGAAAGGGAAAGTGGTTTATATTAGAAGCACAGTGCAGTCTCTCGTACTGGGATTCCAGTGAGGCAGGTGGAAATGGAGACGTGGACCCTCTGGAATTCTGTCTATGTATCTACGTATCACCTGCCTAATATATGTATACGCACTGTCTACTTCTTTCTACATACACACACATACCCATATATGTACATACAGGGGTGTATATGTACACAGGTGTGTGTGTGTGTGTGTGTGTGTGTGTGTGTGTGTGTAGATCAATAGATAGAGATACAATGAGTGGGGCTTAGTTTTGGAATACAAGAACGAGTCAACGTTACGCCGCGAAAAAACCAATCCAAACCAAAACTAAACACCTGTCATCTTTGTGTGTGTCTCTGACTCTGCAGCAGGATGAAGCTTTTCCTGGGCATCCTCTTGGGCTCCCTGGTCCTGGGCGTCAGCAGCCAAAGGTGGTTAACCTTCCTCAGGGAAGCTGGTCAAGGTAAGGCCCAAAGCATGGGGGTCAGGGGGAGGCTGCCCCTGGCCTCCCTCCAGGATTCCCCAGAGCAGAGGCCACATCCACACAGCGCAAAGGCCGCAAGTGGGACGCATAGAAGCATGGTGTTCAAGATAGCAGTCTCCCAGGGTTTCTATTTTCTTTGTTTTTTAACTGAACTATATCTGACATATAACATCATATATATTTAAGGTGTAGGTCATGTTAATTTGATGCATTTATATGTTCAACCCGATTGCCATTGTAGTTATAATTAGCACCTCTGTCATGTTACATAATTTCCCTTTCCTTTTAGTCATTGAAATACTTAAGATCTAGGCTATAGGCACATTTGATCACTATAATACAATATGGTTTGGTGCTCATCATACTGTGCCTTAGGTCTCTAGGGCTTACTTACTACGTGTGGCTTTTCCCCTGAAACCACAGGTGTCTTATCCCTCCACCCCTGGCTTTTCTGGGTGGCAGCGCACTCTTCCTCGGGGTCCCCAGGCTGGAGGTCACATAAGGTTTGGGCCTCAACTTGCAGTAGGAGCAGGAAGAGATACATGTGGGGTCCAGGGTGCCTGCTCCCTACTTATAAGTGGGACTCGAGTGCCGCCTAGTGGGAAGTCAGGGCCAGTTCATGGCTGGGTCTCAGGCAGCCAAGAAGGGGTGCCTCAAACTTGCGCACTTAGTCATCTCCTCCAAGATTAACGGAGATTGGCCCGTGCTAGGCACTGTTCTAAGAGCTTTACATGGATGAATGAACTGGTTTTCATCCTCAGGTTTTAATCTGGAATCCTGCAATGTAGGCACCATCATCCCTTAACAGAGAACCTGAGGCCCAAAGAGATGAAGAGTCTGACAAGGTCCTAAGCAGAGCAGGGTTTACCCCCGTGGTGGAGCTCCCCAGACCTTGCTAGGACGGGACTGTCCTGCCTCCCAGAGCAGAGAGCGCATGGCCGACTGCGGGTTTGGGAACACACAACCCTCTTGTTTATCTGAGCAAATGGCAGATAGGCTGTGGGAGAGGCGGAAGGCCACTCTGCAGAGCTCCTCTCCCCGCAGTAAATGGCACAAGGATTCCATGATGGTGGTTCTGCGGGCCTGAGACCTGGCTGGGCACGAGAGCAAGAGATACGCGCCTCGGTAGTCAGACTCAGCGGCAAGATTTGCATATTTCACAAAATCATTTTTCTTTTTCTTGTCTTTTCCTTTTTCTTTGTCTGTGAGAGTCACTGATTACTGTTTTAAGAGTTTGCTGTCAATCCTTTCTAAATTCTCACAGGCACCGCTACAAATGTGTTTCCATCTTTAGGTCAAGGTTTTTCAAAGGGTTGTTCTAGGACCGCGTGCATGAGAATCACCCGGGGTTTGGGGTGCTTTGTGAAAGGCAGATGCCGGGTGCACACACTCCCCCTCTGCTGAATCAGCATTTCAGGGCTGAGCCTGAAATCTGGCTTCTACCAAGCACCCCAGTGGCTTTTTGTGCCCACTCAAGCTTGGGAACCACTGCCTCCAGTTTTGCCCCCACAGGTGACCAGTACGTCAGGCATTTTGGAAGGACTTCCTAAGCAAGGGGCCGCCAGGCATCTGTTTAAATGTGTAACTTGGAGGGAGCAAGTATAGTAATAATGTCGTACTGCTCAACAAAGTGATCTTTCTGAACACTGGAAAGAATAAATACATAAAATGAAGAGAAAGCATCGCATGGGTGTTACATAAATTATGATTACAACTCGACAGTAGATTTTTCTCTTTTGCTTATTAAGCTACTTTTTCAAAGTCTTCATTTTATTGTAGCCTGATCAGATTCCTTCAATCCGTAACTCTGATTTTCCTCTGAGCTTAGTCCCTTTACTGTTTTTGTCGCAGCCTTCTTAAGGCCCAGAGAAGTGATAGCATTGTGAGCACCTGCAACCTTCTAGAAGTTACATGTGTATTTTCTCAGTTTGTCTGCATAACCCCTGTGTGGAAGGCAACACTCTTCAGTTCCCTGGGGAGAACACTGAACTTTAGAGCTGGGGGTAGTTGCCCTTTTTCTGCATTTGATGACCCCGTTTCTGTGAAGCTCTGTTGGGGGAATTCACCTTTATCACCTGATAAGTGAGTTCTGACAGTCTCCTGGTGCCACGTATGCCCCAGACATTCGGATGTACACAGAACTGAGATGTCTTCACGCTGCCCACAGCGCTGACTTTCTCCCCTTGTCTAGGTTGGGAGCCCTCTGGGTCAGCAGCCTCCCCCAGACTTGCTTTTGTCCTCACACCCCAGTCAGAGGGTTCCCTGCCCTTTCCAGGTAGAGGTTCACCGCACAACGAAGCATCCCCTAAAGACCATCCCACCTCTTGTTCATACACATCACACACAGCCGAAAACCAAGTAGCAACAGTACTTAGAATGGAATCAAAGAGAATACAACTTGCACCCGGTGTGATTCTCCTAACATTAACCCAGGGCAGTGAAAAGTAAAGGAATATTTATCTCAGCCAGTATAATCTCAAAGGTTTGTGTCAAAAGGCTGAAATCTTAGAATCATTGGGAGGAAAACTGTTCTCTATTTTGCCAAGAGATGATCACTTTCATTTTCTTTCCTTTCCAGGGACTAGAGACATGATGAGAGCTTACTCTGACATGAGAGAAGCCAATTACAAAAATTCCGACAAATACTTCCATGCCCGGGGGAACTATGACGCTGCACAAAGGGGCCCTGGGGGTGCCTGGGCTGCTAAAGTGATCAGGTAACATAGCCCCTGGGGATGGAGGTATGGGTGAGCTGAGCATGCCTAGCTGTGATTTCCACTCTCCCCCATGGAT